ACGATTAGTCCGGCATAATCCAGAAATATGCTCAGGCAATAAATACACATGGCAGTTGCTAGATGCACCAATGGAAACAGTCGCCACCAGAAATACAGTCTGTCAGTGATGGAGGTAGTTGGGCACGATAACACACGTAGAATTCTCCTAGACGAAAGTGCTCAGCTTTCTTGTCGTCACTGTCTTTTCTGTGAACAACTGTCATTTCTCGAATGTTTTGTTGTAAGTAGCTCAGGCGCCGCAGGCGCCTGCGTACAAGAAAGAACTACTGCAGGGGTAAGCGCCGAAAGCGCGACGGTTTATGAGTATCGAATCTTTGATGTTTGTGCATTTCTAAGCTCTTTGGCGATGGCTGTTTCGGTGGTGGATGTGCTTAAAACGTTCCGTCAAAAGAAGCAACACATGATACCCCTAGAACAAAGGACAGCCCGTGGGAACGAATACAGTCGAGCGAGGTGGGGTGAGATTCGTGACACTGAATAACCAAACTTATTTTTAAAACAAATCCATTAATGAAATTGACCCCCCCCCCCCAAGCATATCCCCATTATAACCTGGATAGTTCAAACAGAGTATTTAGTTTAAGCTCTACTAATACTGCTGCTGCTACTACTACTACTACTACTACTACTACTACTTGAAGAGGATGTTATGTTATCACAGTCGACGCCACTGCACATTGGGCATTACCATGCGTGCTCAGTCCTCCGATGCAGCAGCCACTCCAAAGTATTTGGGGTAAGGAAAGACGCTGGCTTGGTAGTTAGGGCACACGGAACGGAGGAGAGGTAAGGGAACTGCATAACAATATAATTAAAATTTCCGTAGGATCAAAGTAATAAAGACAAACAAAACACACACATACATACATTCAGAAGAGTATATGAGAATGGAATGAAAATAATAGGGAAGGCGTTGTATGAGCAACACGCAATAGCAAAAGATAAGAGAATTAGGCATGAGCTGGTTGAGGACTTATGCTTCATTTTGTAATAATGAACAGAAGAAGAAGTGAGCCGACCGTCTTAGCCTGAAGTGCCAGTCACCTGTTGAGGCCAGTAGAACCATTCTTGAGAAGCGCTGAGCGACAAATTCCGTTACCTTCTCTCTGCGCATGTCAGAACTTAGAACGGTTAAGTTGGAAAGAAACAAGATGGCGGGAAGAGTATTCTAATAATTTACGATAATTGCACAAATTTGCCTAATACGGAAACATTAGCAATTTAATTCTGATATTTCACATTCCAGGTAATTTAAATTGTAATCAAAATTAAATCTATGCAGTTAAATTGTTAGTTAATGGTAAAGAAAGTGTTTGCCTTCATGACCTTTCCATCATTGAATCATTGTCACACCAACCAAGCAGTTGAGTTGCTGAGTTGCCGTTGCGAATTTTGTTCACGGTGTGGTGTGTTACTTCCAATTCTTATTCAGTTGTATTGAACCATGCAGATTGTTTGGCGGGGTTTTTGTTGTTGTGATTTGATTAACGGTAGCTAGATATAATAAAAAAATGTGCCAATATTTGAGTACATTGATTTAGAATATAATTTGGATTATTTATTTTTTTTAAGCCCAAATCGAAGTTGAAATTTAATTTGAAGTAGAGTGTAGTGTCCATATTGTGTGTGTAGCAGGAGCTGCAGTAGACGTACAGTGACCAGCATGCTTGCATAGCCTTCTCGACACGTGTTAGTTCAAATCACTGCCTGGTTATATACAGAAAACTCTACTGACTATATTTGCCGCTGTTAATGCGGGAAGTATAGTCAATGAGATTTATGAGTGGTGGTTAGGCTACAGTTGATCTACCTGACCACAACATGATATACACAGTTATCGCAGTACACTTCACTACAGGCTAGCATTTGTGTACTGTGTACCCTCTCGACAGAAAAAAAAAAGTTCTTAACCTTATAGAATAATTAACATTTGAACTCTACCCCACCCCCATGAGAAACCAGCATTGATTAATAGTTATTAACCCTTTTACTTTTAGTTTTTAGCACTGGAAATTTTTCAGATGTCTAGCCAAAAACACGGAGCATTTTTTCAGTGAATTTGGTTGTAACTTTATTTATTTTTTGGACACATTTCTGTTATTCTGACCCCCATGAAATAATATATCTATTTGAAGGATATAGATTGAAGTTCATGATTTTCACAATATCATTAAAATTAATTGATGTATATGCAAATTATCTCATTTGCATATCTAAAAATAGAAAATTTGAATTTTCAACTTCAATGCATGAAACATAAAACTAAAAACAAATTTTTTTTTTAAATTTGAAATCTTTTTATTAATCTTTGGCTTTTTTGCAAGTGTTGTAAGCAATTCAATAGTCAAAAACAGGTATATATATATATATATAAAACAGCAATAATATCTTTAGGTGACATGTGTTTTTCACTATCAGTCAGCACAAGAAATGGATGTGCCGGAGTGTCAACACCTTTGGGTGGATATACCCTGCGCCATGGTTGGACTGTCGTTTGAACACAACAGCGTCCCCATCTGATTCCCCACTATTACTACTAACACTAAATCCTGCATCAGTATCAACAGAATTAGTGTAATCACTTGATTCAAATGTTTTATCAACATCAAGTTTAGGGGCAGAAACATACGAGTCAGACATACTTTTAGCGGTTCAGGTCACTATCTAAAAAATTCAACAACAATTTTCACTTCGATGCCAAACACTTGAAAGTTGCCATGTGTAAAGTTAATACAGCACTGAATATAAATGAATCACTTTGTGTTTCAAAGTAGGAGATTTCTCAGCAGTTCGAGGCGAAGCACGATCAGGCCGATGATCGGCCGTTCCATGTTTTTGGCCAGACATCTGCCGGCCGATAATCGGCCCGTCCGTGCTAAGGGGTTAATATTAATACTGCCTGGTGGTCATATGCTTTAGAAAGTGGAAATTGCTTCTAGTTTCATCAAGTCAAACAAAGCATTTAAAGTATAAAGAATACCTCCATTGAAGGGGCACAGTTGAGATGTGGGAAATAAAGGAGGCAATTGTCAACTGGGTTATATTTTTTTTAGACTCATTAAATGTGAAAATGAATTTATAATTAATGTTTAATGTCATAGGGCTAGCAGTAACGCTCACTACACAAAATGTACCTCAAGGTAGGGAAATCAAAAATGAAGCGTACTTCTAACTTACTATAGTACTATGTTACTAGGCAGTTTCAAGTTACTCTTTCATCCCAAAAAGCTATTTATTTAATGTCTTCTATCACAGACAGACTTAAACGCAGTAGTAAATAAAGACTTAGGTATGAAGGAGTTCGACATAGATAGACTTTGGAACAGAAGTAGTTTAAGTAAGTCGGATACAAAAGACTAATATTAATAAAACATCTGCCTGTGAAAGAAGACAGCAAGAATATTATTTTTTCCTGCACTGATTCAGAAATCTGTAGTGTATCATTTGGTACTAAAAGAATTAAAATAAGATGCCATTAAGTTGCACTTGTAGTAGAAGTTCCACGGAGGACCATGCATCAAAAAAAGTCCCCCTTTTAATGTTTTGGGCCAACCCAGGTCCTGACTCTCGGGTTTCTATCTCTTATTGTGCTGTTGAGTCTCCAGTAATAATAGAGATCATGTGTGTTTGCCTTACAACAGTAAAGGGCCCCATAATCTAGGTGGCACTCCTAGCCATTTTCTGATGGATTTGTTGGTTTCATCTCCGTAATCTCAGCTGGGCTAAATCTTACTTTCTACATAAGCAAAGACCAGGAAGCCTTGGGATCAGCATGAATTTGAAAACACCATACCTTGAACTTTCCTATCAGTCTGCTCCTACCAAGCAAACCACTTACTTACCACTGTCTCGTGAATGCCCTGGACAGTGATTTTATCTGTGATCGAGGATTTGTTCGTGTGCCCAAGGCTCTTGACCGGCTCGTCTGGTACCGTAGAAATTGCTTGGCCTGCCACAGTGAAAGCGGTTGCCACCGCCTTGTCCTTCACAATCCACAGACTTCTGGATAATGAACAAAATAATTGCACCTTCTAATATTACTAAATGCAAATAAATTTGTGCAGCATAGATTTAAACAAATATCTAGCTCTTTGGATGCAGCCATAGTATAATGATGAACAAGTTTTACTTCTGAATGCCATCTTCTTGGCAAAAACTCTTAGCTGAGTGAAGAACCAACATTACAACACAAAATATTCCCATAAATGATCTTTGTCCCTCTTCAGCAGCCAGTGCAGGGTTCCAGTTACTTCTTCGCATTTACCGGCTGTAAACGTGATGGAAAGTTCTGGTTGCTCGTCCACTTCTGGACTCTAGTCCTGTTCCAGAAACTGAGTGTTGCCTTGACATCCCTTTCACAGGTCTAACCAATTTGCATGCAGACTCTTGGTTTCCTTGTCTCTCAGGCAGATGTACTCCTATTAGTCGACTCCTACGACATGCCTTTGGGGGCAGGCGGTGGGTCTATTCTTGTTCTTCACACAATGGGGCCCAGGAACCCACACAGGGAGGTTCCAATTCTGATTGTATCAGTAGCAGTCTTATTGTATATCCATCCGTCTTGTCTCTCCTCAAAATGTTGAGTATTGTCTAGATCTCCGAGTCATTCCCCACAGTCTGATTGTATGTCCATCTTGCCTGTCCTCAGAGTGTGGAGTACTTGGCCTGGTCACCCTCCCTTGCACCATTCTGTCCAGACCGTGACAATATATTTGTGTCTCCACTGTCCACTGACCCCCAAAGAACCTTGTCCATATCTAGCTTGCTGTGCTTGAGTTTACAACTAGATGGTGCATAGCTATCTAATCTGTCTGTCTATTCATTTCCTAACAGTCTTAGCTGCATATATAGGACAATGCAAAATTATGCACATTTATTTAGGTGTAAACATTCTTATAGTTAAACTTTTTTTGCAGCAGTCATCCAGTTCACACACTACTTTTTTTTTCAGGTCATTTCCAGTTTCATTATCACAAAGATTACAAGTCACCAACAGCAATGGAAAGTAACTCATCACCAACAATTGAGGAAACTCTAACTAGTGATGATTCAAGTAATGCATTAGATGGTGCTCTTGAAGGAGACCAGCCCTTTGACATATGTCATCTGTGTGAGGATAAACTGAAGTCTCCCAAGATACTGTCATGTCTGCATGAGTTCTGTGAAGATTGCTTGAAGAAAAAGCTGGAGAGTGATAAGGAAGGAGAAAATGTGTCTCCGAGTAGTCCTTTAGCGAAAGAATGGATGATTGAGGTCATAAAGTGTCCTATTTGTGACCAGAAGACACGTTTACCTGAAAAGGGTGTCAGTGGTTTGCTGTCGGACTTAGTCTTAGAAGACATCATGGAATCTGACAGGGGAGATAAACAGCATGTAAGTCATAGTGTTATTTTTGTATTGATTTTTAAAAAAATCTACTGATACCTCAGTATATGTCCTTAATCCATTCCACTTCCTTGGATGTATACCAAACAGTATGTAAACCAGCACAGTTTCCCATAAGAAATTAAGGGACAATAATAATCCGTTCCAGTAAAAATGTCGAATGTCTACTAGGATGGTGCTGAGGAAATATGAGTCCCTTTCCAATAGAACCAGGAATCTGGCATTTTTTCTGTTTAATTTTTCTGTCTCTTTTCCCTACTTGAACATGTTTTAGGCTCACAAGTTCTAGCACATAAGTCGTATTCTAAACAAAGTCTTATACAAAACAGAATTTTTCACATCTAAACAGGACGTATACCAAGTTGGACTTACTAAAAAGCAGTTGTATACCAAGGTATATTGGTGGGCTTAGTGGTTTTGTGTGTAGTTTGAAACAATTAGTACCTACAAAATAGCTTTTTACACATTGTGTTATTGGGTTCCATAAGGGAGGCAAAGAATAGTAATGCTGCAGCCTACCCTACCATGCATGTCATAAGAAGCATCTTAAGATAGGTTGGTATGTGACTGGCGCCATCTGTCTAAACATTTTTGCTGTAAAGTCTAGCAAATATTGAACAAATCTCATCATGTGTGCCTTGCTAGACAGCTTAGACATTCCTTATCTCCTGACAGATCACAGATGTTGGTGTTCTGTGATAATCCTTTATGCTACTGTCTTAAGACCACCCAACCACCATTCCCCTCAGCTTGCTTCTACTTCTTTGACAGCTGATAATTTCTGGGCTTAAGATGTTCCTCAGTGTCTTTTAATCTCTTTGTAAAATAAATTAAAGGGCGCATACACACCTTTGTTGCAAGACTGTCAAGAATCTTTCGTTGTCTTCCTCTATCCCTCCTCCCACAGATCTTTCCATCGGTCACAACATATTCCATTTTCCCTCTTCCCCTAACATGTCCGAGATATGTTGTCTCCTTCTGATGTCTGTGAAAAGTTGTCTTTGGGCACCACCTCTTTCAAAATCTCTTGGTTGCTCTTTTTTGCTGTCCCAGGTAATTTTAAGCATTCTTCTGTAAAACCACAGCTCTGAAACCACATCAAGAAATTGTTTGGCCTGCCAACCGATTGTCCAGGACTAACAGCCATATATTTGTTAAAACTGGATGTATGTAGCTAAGAATAGTTCTTTTCTTTGATACCACCATTACTTCTGTCTTTCCATTATTCAAACTGAGGCCAATTCTTCCACTTTTTACCACCACGGTGTACAGAAAAACGTATATAAAAAGAATTCTGCACATCACACAGTATTGAGAAACTTTATGCCAGAAATATGCCTTTTTTCTTGTGTGCACTTAATATGAACAACCATTAGAGGTCTACAAGTAGAAATAATTTTTCAAGCAAAGATGAGTCAACACCCAAATCTCCAATAAACGGTCTTTAAATGCATGATCACCTGATTCAAACATTGCACTAATTGCATTTTCTTCTAAATGATAATCATTTTTGTGAGAACAAAATCATACTGATTTGTTATGTTGGTGATAGGCCTGACATTTAATATTTAAGTGAAATGTTAGTTAGTTTGTTAAGTCAAGAATTGACATCACAGCACTCAGGGCATTCCCATGTGAGCTCAGTCCTCATCTTTAACAACCAGCGCAGAGTTCCAATACTGATGGTACTGGTCACAATCTGGTTATAGGTCCGTCTCGCCTTTCCTCTGAGTGTAGCGAGTCGGCCAAACCCTCAGTGAAATGTTAACAATGCAGATAACCTCTAGCTGAATGTAATGGGATATTATTTTATAACACCCCTAGCACTTTGTGTTTTTTTTCCATGCCATCCAAAACAACAAAATGTGCTCACTGTTTGAATTAATAGTTATCAGCTTTATAAAGTCAACCCTGTGTCCAGTAGCTACATGTATGTTTTTCCCTCTCACCTTTTCTAGATTGGCTGTACAAGCTGCAAAGCCGGTGACAATGCTGTAGCACGGTGTAGAACATGTGAAAATTTGCTGTGTCCTAATTGTGTTACCGCTCATCAGTTTATGAGATGCTTTGAAGATCATAAGGTAAGCAGTGAAGTTTAGTAGCCTGCTTTATAGTACAGATATGTTGTCTTTCATGTACAAATGATACAAGTGGATGATACAGATGGAAGAACGGATAGAAAAATCAACATACGATGTGCAAAAACAAATCAGGTTATGGGACAGTTAACACTGCTTCTGACTCATAGAAAGGTACCTATGTCAACCAAAGCAAATCTCATAAAAACGGTTTTTTGGTCAACATTGTGCTACCAGTGCCAAGCATGGACTCTTACTACATCTGTGAAAATGGTTGGGGGGGGGGGGGGGGGGGGGTAAATTAACACTAGTTTTCGAGAGTTTAAATGTTATAAAAGTTATAAAAGATGCAAAATATTAGATTAATTAAATAATGTTTTCAGATAATATATATGTTTGTGTGTATGCACACACATAAACATTACACACACACATGTATGTACATTTGCGCGCACACACATATGACATGGTTGTGTAGACCCCATAGATACTGTATGATGTGACAGTTGAAAAAGTATGTAATGTAACAGGCTATTGTCAGCTTGAAACCAGATCCTGATGTCCTTACTTTTATTATAACCCGATTTCCTGACAGCTTTTATGTAAAGTATTTGCAGTCATGAGCTGGAATAATCCAAAATATACACATTTTTAGTTTCTTTATTTCAGTGAATAATTCATTCCCACACCACTATTTAAAAAAACAAAACCTTGAAGAGATTTTACTGTGACTGTTTGCTAATTCTTCATAATGACTGTTTTTGTTGACCACCCTGCTATATGTTTTGACTAGTGACGTCAGCATCTGATCTATGTAAGATCCCATGGAACAATTTACTAATGTACTCATCAGTTAAAATGTCATTTGGATGGTTTTAGTGAACTGTGCAGCTCTGTGGCCTAAAGGTTAGTGAAATCATTTCACAGTTCAGTCTTCAACATTTACCAGGGATTGACTCCAGCAGTGGGCATAGAAACTAGACTGTTCTTGTGGCTTTTAGACAGTGGCACGTTATGGAAAAGGTTGCAACCTCCCCACGTAATATACCCTAGCCAGCACTGGACACATTGCAGCCAACTTCACTGTGGAGAAGGCATAATAAAAAACATTCGTTTTTAGTAATTGTTTCATCACCACTAGGGCATAGTGGGAAAAAAAATTAGGTAATGTGTTGATGTATTTATGTGCAGTTGTTTTTTGTTTTTCTGTTTTATGTTTTAATAAAATCAGACCCTTACATGAAGTCATGCATATAATAACATTGAATGTGCTGTTCTCATTTGGCCCGACTCTCTGTGGACAGGTGGTGACATTTGAAGAGATGATCAGCACTGGTGAGGGCATTGAACACCTGAGGAAACCTGTGTTTTGTTTAAACCATTCACTGGAAATCATCAAGTACTTCTGTACTTCGTGTAATGTGAGTTACTTGCTTTATTTAATTTAACTGTTTCAGCTCATAAGAATCTTTAAATGACCCTTTCAACATTTCATCCCCCTCCCAAAATGCATCCTTATAATTCTTAAAACTCTACCCAAAGAAACTAGAAAAAGAGAAGAAGGGGCAGAAGGAATTTGTAGTCTAAGCCAGTTTTTAAACATCCGGGGGCTTCAAACCTATGAACACCTAGCATACATGCAAAACTGCTAGCAGTTATGTCACGCCCCGGGCACTTTAAAAAAAAAAGGAAAAATAAAATATACTTTACAATTTTCAAACCCCAAAAAATCCATGGTTGAGTAAGGGATAGGGTTTATTCTTGTTCCCCACAATGGGGTAACAGAACCCACTCAGGGAAAAAAAAATATATAATGGTACTCACCATACAGGTGTACTGGCAACTGCCAAGAGACAACATGCCATCAAAACATCTGACAAGCTTAAATCTCGACATTTGCAGGGTGAGATTGCTTTAAAAAACAAACATGATGTTTTAGTATATATATATCCTATATGTGATAGCTGTCTTATGTGAGTTATAAATATCATATCCATTATTTATTTCTGTAAGATAGCTTCAGTTTAGTCTCACCAAAATGTATTGTTGAAAAACACAATAACTCTTTCTCATCCTCCAAAGCTCTTTACAGAAAGAACAGGGTTTTTCTGTTTGTGATGATGTGAATCTAATTCTGCTCCACCTCTCTATTTTTGTTGACTGCTTTGGTTTTGTATCTCCAGTTTTTGCACTTTACATTGCCATATTTGTTTTCTGTTTGAATCAATGCTGTTCACATAGGCCAACATAATGTTTTGAATTTCATTATATTTGCAGATTTTGTTTAATGGTTACCTACGTCATCTTTATGATGCTATCCTGTTGTGTCATTTATATGTCACATAGTGCTTGCAATTGATTTTCTCTATTACATTCTGTTCTTTTGCCTTTTTTTCCCCATCAAATCTTCATTGAGTTCTTTCTCATCAGTGTTGTAGTCATTTCTTGGACATTATAGTTTCTTCAGTCTGTTTGTATCCCAGTTTAGTGCATGTTTTATGATTCTTTGCCTGCTTGGTTTCAGAATGTGTGTGTGGTGGTGGAGAGGGGGGGGGGGCATCTTCTTTTTCATATAAGCAGTTGATTTTTTTCTGTCTTCTTTGCCTTTGACCTCATCTCATTTAATGTTTGTAAATTTTCTTGGGCATTTATTTTTGTAAGTGTTTAAACTTTCATTTAATGTCTTTAGTGGTTCTGTAGCCTTTACTTCTGTTAGAGCTGAAATTTTAGAATGAAACATATTTAGTTTAGTTAAAGAACTGTAGTTGGAGTTTCATATTCTGTTTAGGCTTTTGTTTGCGTGAGTGCTGATGTTAGGTAATTGCATGAGTGCTGTTACGTGTTTGCATTAGCACTTGAATTCGTTTGAAGTCGGAGTGCATCTGCCTGTAAGGCAAGACAGCAGGAGGCTCCATACAAATAAGCCAAATCAGTATAAATGATGTGCACGCAACACTCAGGCCCTGGAATAATGCCAAAGTCCAGAAATGGACGCACAACCAGGGCTTTCCACTAATGTTTACATCAAATGAACACAAATTAGCTTTTGTAATTTTGATTAACAAATTTAGTTATTTCAAATAACAGGTACCAGCTTGTGGTGAATGTCTGCAGAAGTCCCACAGTAGCCCTGAACATGTGGTGAAACAGCTTGCTGAGGGTGTTGGTGCCAAGAAGGGTACTCTGGTTGACTTCACTAACGAATGTGCAAATAAGCTGATTGAGTGCCAGAAGATGAATGCCAGTCTGAATGCAGCCTTTGAAGACTTGGAAATGCAGAAGGACAACACTAAAGGGCTCATTATGGAAACGTTTCAAAGCTATAAGGCTCTGTTGGAGGATTTAAGGGTAAAGATTGATCATTTTTTTTAATGTGCATACACTTACACTTAGCTTTCTCACATAATAAGCATGCATATATGTTTTTTTTAATGTGGGTCCATTATGAAGAGAATTTAGTTTATGCTTGCAAACAGCGCTGCAAAATATTGGCATTTGAACTGCTAAGGCCCTTGTCCGCTTTCTCTCTCTCTCTCTCTCTCTCTCTCTCTCTCTCTCTCTCTCTCTCTCTCTCTCTCTCTCTCTCTCTCTCTCTCTCTCTCTCTCTCGTTTTGTGTATTTGTAGCCATCCTTTTAAGCTCACGCTTTTGCTGGGTGGGAGTCGCTGGGCGGGGTGGCTAGATGCTCACTGCAGATCGGAAGGTCATGGTTTCGCTCCCTGGAGGAGCCGGACCTTCCCCCCCCCCCCCAAATGACCTTGGCTCCCAGGTTGACCCAGCTGTGAGTGGGTACCGGGTGCAGTCCAGGCAAGTTGAGGCGGCCGGCTGAATGCTGACCACATCATCCATCTTGTGCCGATTGGTGTATAAAAAAAAGGTCTTGCCCGATACGCCTAAAGGCGTGGAAAAGGCTCCTTTACCTTTTTTTTATTACTTTTTTTGTTGTTGCTGGGCAGTACCTACACACATGAGGAACTAGTCTTTAATTTATTCATTAATTACTTGCTTATTGGGAGGGGGAGGGGGTGGATATGCTTTTCTTTCCATGCATAAAACATTTATTTAATTAGCCAAGGTTTTAAATCACCCTTTTGCACCTCGAACCATTCTGATATTTCTCCAGCTACTCTGGTGGTTGCCTTTTTTAATGTGTTTATTTTAGAACTGAAAACAACTTGATTAATAAATATGTTTTTCCATGTATGGTTTCGGGGCCCTAATTCAGGGAAAACAAGAATAGACCCACTGTGTACCCAAAAGCACGTCATAAGAGTCAACTGTTTGGGAGCTTCCTTCGTAGTGCATCTGCCTGAGAGGCAAGGAACCAGCAGTCTGCATACAAATCAGATCTGTAAAACGGATGCACACGTAACACTCAGGTCCTGGAACAGGACTGCAGTCCAAAGGTGAACGAACAACCAGAACTTTCCACCACTTCGTGGTGAACGCGAAGAAGAAGATAAATATGTTTTATACGTCCATATTTATGATCCAGTTTAGAAGATCTTAGTCATTGTTTTACTTATCACATTAGGAAAGATAGAATTTGTTGTTTGTTTCTTTTCTGTGTCATCCTGTCCTGTCCGCTATTGCTTGCATCTCATCCCATGTTATCATTTTTAACTCCTCTCTCTGGTTTCCTGTGTTACTTAGTCTGTTTATTATTTCTATGACTTGACAGAATCGAGCGCATTTCAAGAAGCTAGGAATGCGTTTTACCTCACATCATTTCTGTGATTTTGAGTATGTAATTAATTGCTTTCCATTGACACATTACAACATTACAGGATAAATACTTAAATGAAGCAGATGAACTTCATGGGAAACGAGAGTTGTGTCTGATGGATCGCATGCACAAGCTGTCTACCTATGAGAACCAGCTCTCTCAGGCCAAAAACTTTGTGGAGCGTGTGTGTCAAAATGGACACGCTGGCCAGATTTGTCAGCTGCTGCAGCCAATGTTGACTCAGCTCAATACGCTTTGCATGGGCTTTATAATGCCTGATATTCCTGCAAACACCGAGTTCAGAACTGATGTTACAGCATTTACAAATGTTGTGAAAAGTCACTTTGGCTATTTCTCGAAGGAGAAGAATAGTTCAGTGGTAAGTGACATTTTCTGTTTGTCTTAATTTTTTGTTATAATATTGTCTTTAAAAATGTATTATCTTTCATAAGTGTAGTCATTTTATCCCACTGTGTGTTTGCCTGGTGAAGGGGTTAAGATGTCTGTCTTCTTCTTCTTCTTTTTTTTTTTTTTTTTGGGTCGTCTCACTGAAAACACGTTGTATACTAGTGTCATGGTTTTCTGTTGTCTTGTTTCTCAAGTGGCTTGGGTGATGGATTTGTTGAAATTTTTTTTGCCTGACTAGTGTGTTGTATTCCGCAGGGTTAGAGGTTCTTTTGTTTGCTTTTTGTAGATGAGACATCACTAACCTGCAGTTTTAAGAGAGAAGTAAGGTAGTTCCAATTAATCAGGATGTGAGGAAAAGACTCACATATTTGGATAGGACATTCAGAAAACTGGATAACTAGCATGTCCTTGCAAAACAGTAAAAGCAGATAGGCACAGAATTATGGAATAAAGCAGACAAGATGGGGACAGCTGCATGAGGCAAAGGTTGCCGGTTATTTGAGTTCCTGTGCTCCATTGAAAGATACAGGGCAGAAGAAGAAGAAGAGATGAAGACACAAGTTTCAAAATGCTTGTTTTGCAAGCAGCATTTATACTTCAGCCTGGAAACCTTTCATGCTGAGACCATCAATGGTACCAGTGCTGAAATAATAGTTTTTAGATATTTGACCACTGTATCTTTTTTTTTTTTAATGTCTCTGAAGTCTGATCACATGAGTGATTTATCCTTTAGCACTTTCGTCCCTGAGAATCTTTAAAAAATTACTTTTCCCTCCAAATTTTACTGAAAACAAAACACATACTTATGATTCACTGAAACTCATTTCTAAAACTAGAGCAAAGAATGACCTCACTTCCTTTCCCTTGATCATGAAAACAGTGTTTTTATTGACACAGCCAAGTGATGCTGTTATAATGTCACAGTGACACCACACACACCTACACAACCCCCCCCCCCCCCCCCATTTATTTATTTTTCACTCAAAATATTTCATTTAAAAAGTAAAAAGTAAATAATTTACCCACCATGTCTGCATATTGCACATGTGCAACTAGTACATAAACTGTTATATAGCTATATTGGCCATTGCCTAAAGATTTCATTTAAGAGAAAAAAAACCACATGCTGGGGGGGGGGGGGGGGGGGGGGGGGGGGGGAACAGGGTTGAATGACTACTATTTGCAGGTTTTTGTTTGTTTATTGAAGGAACAGACTAAACATTTGTTTGAAAAAGTTTCTCTGCTTTTATTATTAAAGTATTTTCTTTAATATCTATTACTGTACCTTTGTTGACAAATTGATTTTTACCATTCTGTTTATTCCTTTTCTGTTGTTGCTGCTGTCTGTTTTACTGCAATTTTCTCTTCATGCATAGTTTTTCCTTCGGTAAGTTTCACTGGTATTCCTCACAGCTCATATTTAATGGGCAGGATTTCAAACAGTATTTTAAAAAAAAAAGAAGATAAAAGACTTCCATAATAATGTCATTTAAAATCTGATTGCTTTGAATTGCAAGAGTCAGCAGACACTTTAATCCCTGAATGCTTTAGATTTTCAGAGTTGTTGAACAGACTTTTTAGCTTCTTGTGAAATGTAAGAGTTTTTACATTTGATTGAAACTAGAAAGTAATTTTTATTCCTAGAATGGATCAGCCGTATGCTCGCCTTTTGAAGCTGAGCATTTTTCCTTGCCAAGCATGATGTCCCTGGGCAATTCAAACATGATGCCGCCACAGATGAACCACGACCTCATGAACAGCATCAACAATTTGACCCGAGAGCATTTAGGACTTGGAATTAGGCATGATATCAACAACCTTCAGCTGTCTAATGTTATCTCCTGCTTGAGTTCGGTCAACCTGTCTAACCACACAGAGAATTCTGCCCTGTCTGGGAACAACAGTCCCTTTTCTGATAGTGGCATTTCGGTGGACAATGTCAGTCACAGCAGTGGTGGCAATGCAATGATCAATGCTGCTGCCATGATGAAATTACACAATCCCAGTAAGTGGCACCTTGTTAAAATTGTTACATTTATTGGTGATTCCCCCCCCCCCCCATCTTTGCATTTGCCAGCTGTAAACTCTGGCAGAAAGTTCTGGTTGTTCGTCTGCCTCTGGACATAAGTTTTGTTCCAGAACCTGGGTGTTGCTTGTACGTCCGTTTTACAGATCTAGCTTGTTTGTTTGCAGATTGTTGTTTCCTTGCCTCTCAGGCAGATGCACTCTGACTACGAAGGAAAGCCCACAGTTAGTCAACTCTTACGAAATGCTTGTTGGGGAGGTAGTGGGTCTATTCTGGTTTTTTTCACACTGGGACCCCGGAACCCTCACAGGGATATTGGTAATTCTACACATAACTGCCTTCTCCGTGTGGGTTCTGGGACCCTTGGGGGGGGGGGGGGGGAGACAAGAATGGGTGCACTTTTCCCTTAACAAGCATGTCCTAAAAGGTGGCTAATTAAGAGTATCTTGAAATTGAATTTGTTGGGGCGAACAGTGCAAATATAGCAGCCTATCTGTACACATCCAGTCAGGCGTGGACACAGAAGACCCTTTTATGACAAATTCTTCTACGAGACAAGCCTCTTTTGTCCATCTGCTGTTTTACATCTTAAGATGCAGAACTGTGTTGTTTCATCTCATTAAGACGTGCACATTGGGACTAAAAGTTATAACAATTTTATAACTGAATTTGTTAAAGTTGCAACTCTTTCTGGAGGATCATCTCTATCTAAGTTGATAGAAAGTGCACAAGACAGAAGGTTGTGGATAGACATGACTGCATTGGTCTTATTTGAGAACTATTACTCTGCAAAGAATCAAAGCTCCTGGAAAAAATATGACACCTTGAAGTCCATCATGTCATCTTGAAACACTTACAATTATTTATATGCTTGATATTTTCAAATATTTAAAGGCATTGACGTCCTCATCCCATTGCTGATTTTATAGACAAGCTGGAAATTTGATGCTTTTTTTAACTGATTCATGTGTGTGTTTTTATTCAACTGTTTTAGGTCCGTTGTTTACTGGCATGGGCATTGGTGGACCTGCAGGAAATATGATGACTGCTGCAGGGGACAATGCACTGGCAAGTTTCCTTGGCCCCGCCACACCCAACCCAGGTTCAAGTATGTCAGTACAACATGCCAACATTGAAGGACTTGTATCACTGCTGAACCAGCCGCCTCCATCCCTTGGCTCATTAGCCAATATTGGACCGTTCGAGCAGTTCAGTCCAAGTATGTCACACATCTACACCTTTATGTTACATAATCTCTCCCCCACATTATAATTAAGTAAGTGTTGCCTTCAGCGAATAGGGTTAAAATTGTTTTGACAGAATTGCTAACATGGAGCTTATGCCCAGAACTACAAATTCCAGTGAAGTAAGAGTTGAGAAAACTGGCCAGTTCACACACTGAAGAAGTGTGTTAATTTGAGTAGAAAGTTCTCTCTCTGGAACACAAAGGATACAGTCAGTAGACAGATTGGAAACACATGGAAAAGAGAACTAGGAACTCTCCAGATTGTATGGGTATTACATAAATGCAGCTGCACAATGGCAGAAAATGTGATAAATGAGAGAAGATCATGTACACATTGCCTTTATAATGTTATTCTTACGGTTCTTTCACAGCTTCCATCCCATCAGAGCTGAGTTCACCTGGAGGTAGTCTCAATGGGGAGCTGTTCTCTGCGGCACGTCGCAACGCTGCTAAAGTGAATCCCATGCAGATAAGGTAAGGAGTTTGTGTAAGGTCACTGTGTACATGGTACTTTAGGCTGGTGCCAGTATCTCACAGGTAGGCGGTCCATGTGGATTTTTTGAAGTTGTAGCATCATTAAGACTTTTCTTGACACGGGCGGGTCTTGCTAGTCACACTCGCTGTCGCCATGGGCTGTGAGTCTCATGCCACCTCATGCTTGGAAAGACGGAAAGGTGCCAATCAGCATCATTAAACTATTATTGAAAAATGTTTTCAAGTTACAGACTATCATTAACTGTGAGATTAAAAAAAACACCCAAGTAATAGGTTTGGTTTATCTGTATATGTGAAGGGAATGTGTGTCTCAGCTCTCAGTTTGTTTCCATTCTCAACACATTTTCATTTTGCTTTACCTGTAAATAGTGGGGTTGACCTGCCACTTTTAATTAATTATTCAGTTGCATGAGGTTTGAGCTGTTAGTTAATAATGACAGACACAAAGTTAATAATGGTTGTAAAGTATTTAAACATGTCTGTCTGAAAAGTATACAAGGTAATAATGGTTGTAGTGAAATGTGTGCCTCGAAAATGCCTTGAGTAACACATTTATATGTAACTGGACAATTTATCAGCAGGTTTCAAGGTGCAATGGGTGACACAGAGATTGGCCATTGGGGACCTCAGCACAAACAGATCAATGAAGTTCCTCTAAGGTTCAATATATGCTTGCATATCTGTGTTTGATATTCCTGAGTGTTGTTTGTATAACCTGTTTGCTTGCTTGTATATTAACCTTTCTCTGTTGGTGTGTGTTGCTAAGGCCTTTGCTTGTCCGTGCACATGTGTATATTATTCACAGCACTCAGTCCATTTCTGGGACTCATCTGAAGCAAGTCAATATGTTCAAGTAATTAGGTACTCTGATAACAGAAGGCAGAAGATGCATTACAGAAGTTAAATGTAAAATAGCAAAAAACAACTTTTCGTAAAATCTTTTTCATCAAAAACTTGAGAGAGTTCTTAAGAACTTTATAGAACTAATCCCTTTGTATGAAAGGGAATCATGGACAGTCAGTAGATTGTGAAAGATTATATGGAAACTGCAAAGATGTCATTTTATAGACAAATAATAACAATGTGGAAGGGGAAAAAAGGTGGGATTAGGATGCTGTGCAAGAAAAAGAAACATGAAGAGAACTGATTACCATCATCAAAAGGAGACAGTCTGCGTTCTTGTGAACTGAAAATTAAAATACATTGTAACAGAGAAAGTTACAGAGGGAGAGAAGAATAGGAAGCCCTAGAGAGACAGTTTATCATCATGGCTTGAAACATTTGTGTCAGAAATGATTGACACTACACAAGACAGAAGGCTGTGGTCAGACATGACAACCAATGCCTTACTGCATGTGCTGTAAGAACGCTCTGGACATCTAATTTTCTGATGGTCGGTGATATTGCTTGCTACACTAGTATACGTTGCTTGCTCTGTCAGTGTATTTTGCTTGCTGTGTTTACTCAACTGATTGTCTCTGGCTTTGCTTTATAGATATTTAATGTTGCTGTCTCGTGTAATCGTGGGCTAAAGTAAAACCATGCATGGATTATTAGAATTGTTGCCACTAGAATTACATATTCCTTGTAAGATAGCAAGTATATGCATGTATACATTTATGTTCACATATGGAAAAGACCAAGCCATTCTTAATATGAAAGAGGACGGCTTGCGGGACATAAGTGTAACTTAGCCAAATAGAGTGGCCTTTCAACACACATGTGAGAATGATGATGATGCTGTACCAGTCAGTGAGACTTTTAGAGATTTTGATGAAAATAGTGATAGTCATGGGCAAATGTTTGATTGGCATCACTACCACGACAACATATGCTGCCTGCCCATGCTTCGTATTTAGTGCACAGGTTTGTTTCCCGTTTGAGGGGTTGTTGGTTGAAACATAAAATCAACCAGGTACCTGCAGCCCAGATTTAACGCACTGCAACTTTTGACATTTTATCAAAACTGAAGGGGAAAAAATGCATGAAAGTCAAGCGATTTTAGGCCTCCGATGAGATTCAAAATGATGCAACTGATGGAGCCTCATAAAAAAAAATTTGCAGTTTTAAACAGTGGGAAGAGATTAGGAAACACTGTGTGAGGTTCCAAGGAGTTTTGAAAGGGACTGAAGCATCATTGTGCTTAGTAAATATAAATACGCTTATTGTTTTTTTAATATATGCTTCTTTTCTGGACAGCTTTTGTCTATGAATTCATATATTTTCTGGTACAAATGAGTTTAATGTGTGTGGATATATATATATGCACACATACCATTCATTTGTACTTAAAATTTAATTACTTCTTTCACACACTATTGGTAGTCTGCACACACACAATAGTTGTTTAGGCATATTGGTGGCATGCATATCACATCTCTTGCTAACATTAATTGTATGCAATGCAGTCTGTGTTTAACTATTTCGCTGTCTAAGATTCTAAAAACAAAATTACCTATTTTTCTTCAGATTTGTAAATGTGAAAACATCCTTAGAATTCCATGAAACTCTACCATAAGAAACTAGAAGAAAAGAACAAGCAGAAGGAGTTTAAACCATCCTGAGTGGTTTGTGTCACTTTCCCACAAAGGGCAGTGTGATGACACAATTAGGAAATTGTATGATGTTGCAGTTTAAACCCCCCTCCCACCCACCCACCAAAGTGACTTGACATATTTTGTCAAGTATAAATATAGTTATGCCTACCATGTCGACACACAAAGAGTGGCAAGCAGTACCAGAGCTGTTATACAGGTGTAGTGACCACTGCCCAGAGACATCACACCATTAAAACACTTCACAGGCCTAGATCATGGCATTTACCGGGCTGCAGGCTCAACACTGGATCTCAACATCTAGTGCCCATTCATTACTATGTTTCAGCTAAACAAAAAATTATTAAGTTCAAAATTAATAAAAGCAAATAATTAAAATATACAAAAGATAAAATGGCTAGCTCTGCACCACTCTGTGGTGAATTGATGTATGACAAAGCTAGAAGTTGTGAGGGAACTTTGGGAGCAGTGAACAGTGCCGAACGAACGAACTTTATTTTCTAAGGGTTAAGAATTGGGCACACAGGCCTGTCTTACATTCTGGCCTCACGCCATGCATACATTATTCATGCACACATTGTTTTAGCAGATAGTTATAATAATAATGATATTAATAGGCATCATAAACATCTTTGTAACAATGTACTCTAAGTATGCCTACATTTTTAAACAATTATAATACCAAATATAATAAATCTCTGTAGAATTCAACAGTATTCTTAGGAAACTATTATCTTCTAAGGGGGCATGTAGTCTGAAGTGAGATAATATTCAAAAAGCTTCCAATTGTATTTATAGGGGTTGTTGATATTTTTTGATTGGTTGTGGAAGTTGGTTCCACAGATAAGCTGCAGAGCACGCCAAGCTTGTTTTGTACAAGTCTGTTCTAGGCCGAGGCACAGATAGATCATTACGGTCTGCGAAAAATGGCGCTGTGAGGAGTTACTAGGGGATCTGGCTGACACTCAGCACTCAAGGGAAAGTCAAGACGGATGTACATTCAGACAGTTACTATTGCCATCGAAATTGGAACTCTTTGCTTGCTGCTGAAGATGGGGAGGAAGCACTTTTGGGAGTGTCTCTAGTGCTATGATGTTGATTCTTATTCAGTATTCAACATACTTTCAGCTAAACATTTGGTCTATGTTTGAAACTAATTAAATGATGCTTTTACTTGCTTATACACACTGTTGTGTGTGTGAATGTAGTTGTGGCATCATTGACTTTTTAAATCCTTGTACTATAGATACCTGCCGTGAAACATGGTAAATACAGTCAGTGAAGACAGTTTTACTATCAAATGAAAAGACAAAACATATCCGTCAGCTCTGTTTTCATTGTCATGTTCGTCATGAATGTTAGATATAATTTTAAGTAGTATGTTTTTTAATTAATGTGGTATTGATAGCTTGAGAAACTACTTTTCTACATCTCTTGTATTCCAGCTTCTCTAGAACATTTGTTTACATGAAACATGGTTAATTACTTGTTTATTGTTTGCCTGTCAAGCTTATGCCCAGTATAGTGGTGGTGGGATTTTAGTTTATTAAAGGTTACATAGACAAATACATATCTTCCAGAGAAGATTCGTGTGGCCTTTTACCATGCTCTGTGTGTTACTGTTTGGTTTCTGTAGCTGTAACTGTTTAAAATTCAAAGACATGTACGGCTGTGTGGTTTACAGATTGGTGAAATGATGTCTCGGTTCACTTTGATTGGCTGTTTACCAGGGTTTGATTCCCATGGTAGGCAAGACTGTTGTCGGGGCTGTGAGACATTGGTATGAGAATAATTCATTGAAGAGACTGGAGTTTCATCATGTAATATTCCCATGGGTAGCAGGCATTACAATGCAGCCAACCTGCATTGTTAAGAAAATATGGGGGTGACTGCAGTCAAGATAATACAAACGTAGCTCATGTCACACCTTAGAGATCTGAATACTCTCCTCTTTGTTACATTTATGTAGTTTACTTCATGTTTGACAAAGGCTGCCGGCCGAAACATTTTTGTATTGTTTTTGTGCACGTTTTCCTGCTTCCCCATTTACTGGAATAAAATAAAGAAAAAGAAAAAAAATATTTGGATATGACATTTGAGTAAATAAAATGTCTGATTTAAGTAGAACCCACACATTTCTGGTGAGTGGCTTGGCACTGAATAAGAGGTCTGGCATGTGTTTTCATGTTTGTGCTGTGTAGCTGGCTTGTACTTGCAGCATCATTAATTAGGTTTCCACATGTGGGGAAAACAATAGACCCACAGCCTCCACAACAAGCCTGTTGTAAGAGTCGACTAAATGGGGCTTCTTTCACAGTCAGAGTGCATCCGCCGGAGCGGCAAGGAACCAACAGTCTGCATACAATTAAGTTGGATCTGTAAAATGGATATGCATGCATGCAGCACTCAGGTTCTGGAACAAATCTAAAGTCTAGAGGTGGATTAACAAGAAGAACTTTCCGCCGGAGTTTTACAGAACACGAAGAAGAAGATTAATAAGGTTAGCATGCTGGAAGAAGCTGTGTAATAAATAAATTTTGATCAAGGAGTGGCTGGCTCAGTGTTTAAGAATGCTGGTCTCCTATTCAGGACATCCAGGTTCAAATCCTTGATAAGGGGATGGATTTTATCTGTCATGGGCCACACCGCTGTAAAACCCCAGGCTCAAGCATAGGCACTCATGTCTGTCCTCAGATCTATGTCCTTGGTATTTTGAATCAGTTCCACTGATGCTATTCCTCCATGCCATCGCTTGAGGCCGTCTAGCATCATCTCTCTTGGTCTGTCTCTTCTGTCTTTATCTTTCCAGCCAGTGCAATGCTTAGCAGTGCCTCTCTTCTCATCTGTTTGAAAAAGGTTAAGCTGAAATTTGGAAAGTTCAGTCCCATGAAAGAATGAATAACATAAAATAGTTTCACTATAGAATATATTGACAAAGACGTTTTTTTTTTTAAATAACAGATGCAAGTTTGGACAGCTGGGCCCTGGTAAAGGACAGTTTAACTCTCCGCATGGTTTCTGCCTGGGTGTTGATGAGGACATTATTGTGGCAGACACCAACAACCATCGCATCCAGATATTTCTCAAGACTGGCGAATTTAAGAACCAGTTTGGAATACCAGGTGGGTTGTAATATTATTGCTGAACTGTATTGAATGTTTTTTCTTGAAAAAGAAAGATGTAGAGTGAGCAAGTGAAGTTGACATGTGTTGCAGTTCAGTCATTGACTTTAAATGGTTACTCATCTTCATTATCCCGTTGTTATATGGCACATAGGGCTTACAGTCTGTTCCTCTCATTGCAAAAGCTTGCCCCAAAAATGTAAAACATTTTAAAGTGTATAGATGAGCAGAATATTAATAACAGATAAAAATAATCTGTGCAGTCATACAGTTGAAAAAGGATAATTGTCAATGATTATTGAAAGCTGGTTTATCTGAACTTTACTTGACATGCAAATTACATTTGTTCTTTTCTTTCCTTGTTTTTACGGTTTAGAAAAATCTTCTGTAGTAGTAAATTTTCACAATTTATTTGTATGTAAAGTTTGACTTTTTTTTCTAAAAGTGTGAATTTATAAGTATATAATGTTGAGTTTCATCATCAATTTCTTCTTCTGCCATTAAGCACTGTAGGGAGGAACGGTTTGCGATCCATTTATTGATGGGCAGGATTGGCTATTATCATTCTGTGATTGATATAGAAGCTCTTTAATGTCATCAAGCCATCTTCTCCTAGGGCAGCCTCTTGATTTCACTTTGTATCTTGTCATGTGTAGCACCTGTGTTAGTAGTTAGTTTTTCTGGCTGCATTCTTACTGAAAGACTAAACCATTTTATCTTTGTTTCTCACTGAATTTGCTGCATGGTGTTGTTCTGACAGTCTGTCTGATAATATTTCTAACCTTGTCTCAGATGGTTAAGTTTGTGGCTTTTCTCAGACATCTCAGTTAGCAGATGTTAATTTTACATAGGTTAGCTTTTGAACTTCACAAACGAAAGGACAAATTCGTTTTCCTAGCAAACAAACAGTATTAGAGTGTCTCTGTGATGTGCCACTATATTGGCTCAAAGTTTGAAGGGGGTGGATTCTAAAAGCCACTTAAGTGATACATAGTCCGTAAAAAGTTTATAGCAGCATCATTTGGTATATGTGTGCACTGGCTCGTTGGCATCTTGTTTCTTTTTTTAGATCTATTATACCATCTTCCTAGAATATAGTTCCTAGATTTTAAAATTTCATAACTTGATTCAGACAAGTACCAAGTCTGTTTTTTAAAGGTTTGTAGCAAGAGGGTTAACCTGTTTGCACCCTTTTTTATCCCAAAATATAGTCTCTATTTGCACGACAAAGCACATATTCCGTAGCTTCAGTAACAATCTCCAGGGATCTCTTAATACAGTAAACCCTCAATAACATGAATGCCAAGGAACCAAAAATTGAGTTTGTGTTAAAACAAATTTATGCTAGCTGGGAACCGATAACAGTGATATATCCTTACTGCGACCATATATTGTTTATGTTAACTTAGGCTTCTTCATAAATAATTTCATGTTAAGGAGGTTTCACTATAATTACATGTGTATGCTGGATAGGGCACTCCATGAAGGGAACCTATGGCCTCCAGAGCATAATGCAAGCGACTTAGCCATTTAGTCAGAGAGTACATGTCCTGTTACCTCCTATTATCTTTGACTGAAGCTTATTTCCTATTTGAATCTTTGACTAGGAAGAGAAGAAGGACAACTTTGGTACCCTCGTAAAGTTGCAGTGATGCTGAAAGTGGGCAAGTTTGTCGTGTGTGACCGTGGCAATGAAAGATCAAGAATGCAGATCTTCAACAGGAATGGGCACTTTTTAAAGAAAATTGCCATCCGCTATATTGATATAGTTGCTGGATTGGCCATAACCCCTGAAGGTAAGGCTTTTTTTCTCCTCCATCTTAGCTAATGAAAGTACATCCTTATATACAACAATAAGAAAGAGACAAACACTGTTCTTTGGCCACATAATGAGAAGAAAGACATTGGAGAAAATCGTGACAACTGGAAAGATCAGTGGGAAAAGAAGTTAGAGGCAGACCAAGAGAAAAGATGCTGGATGGGCTGAAACAATGGCATGGAGGGATATCATAAAGAGAGTTCCAGAGACCAGTGATCGTGATCTGTAGAGATGCATGAGCGCTTACGCCAGTTGGCGGGGCACATGATGATGATGATGTTCGTCTTAGTGAAATAATGGAGGTGTACATTTAACGAGCTAGAATATTTTGCTACTATGACTGCTTTGTGGTGATTTTGGCAATGTTATGAACAAACAAATTAGGAACAGTTTTATATGCAACAGATGTGGTTCTTGAGAAGAATATTGCGATTATCTTGGACTGCCAAAACAACTAACAATGGCTAGTAAAGTAGAACATTATGTACAACAATGAGGAGAAAAGTTCTTTGGTCATGTGAAGAGAAAAGAATCATAGGAAAATACTGTGATGACTGGCAAGATCACTAGTAGCAGAGGCAGACCAATAGAAATGTTGGCATGAAGAAATAACATCAGTGAAGTTGATCCATAACACCGAAGAACGAGATCTGTGGAGGTGCTGGTAAGGCACTTGATGGTGATGATGATGAGTGCTGCATCATTCTGAAAGCAGCAGCAAAACATAAAATTGCTCACAGGCAAAAGGCAGTTAAATTGGAGGGTTGATTTGCAGCATCCTAAAAAGGAACTTTAACTATCAAATAGATTAAAACTAAGGGTATGTGTGATCAGGGGTGGGAAAGGATGAAGAGCTGAGGAATACAACAGTGTATTTTATAAATGGTGCTTTTTTATTCTTATTCTTCTTCTTTCGTTCGCCTGAAATAAGTTGTCTATATCAGCAGCTTTTTTAATTCATTTTTATGGACTGCACACATCACAGATTAGTGATATATTTTGATGATATATAGTTGTGGGGGAAAAAGGAAGAAGACCCATAACCTCTTAATAATAGTGGTACATTTTACCCCACTAGGACATCACACAAGCGATAAACACCCGTTGACGCAAAGTGCCACCATGTGGATGAGGATCACCTGTAGAGAGGTCCCGCGTTCAGCCATTAGGTCTTATTTATGGCCAGGCTACATTGTGGCCCCTGGCAAGAGCCAGGGTGAGGCTTCAAAATAAACATGCCATAAAAGGCAATTTACTGTTTATTGAAATAAGATGTATTGGTCTGAAAAGCGCATTTATCGCAGCCTAGTTGTAAACCACAACACTGTGAGCTAACTGTCTTTTAAAGGACGATTGCAGAACAAAAATATCATAGTATCATAATCAGAATGTAATCCGAAATTCAAAGTTAGTTCATCCTCACAGTAGACATTTAGTTGACATTGTTAGAACATGATCAGATTTTGCTCCCTTTTGCTTAACAAATAAAGTGTATTGTATTTGACAGGCAACATAGTAGCAGTGGACAGTGTTTCGCCAACTGTGTTTGTCATTTCTGAAGCTGGTGACCTGATTAAGTGGTTTGACTGCAGTGACTTCATGCGAGAGCCATCAGATATTGCTGTCAACAACAATGAATATTTTGTCTGTGACTTTAAGGTGAGCTCCATCTCCAACATTGCAGATTTATTGCCTGGACTTTCCCCCTGAAGCTTGTAAACAATTCTTTTACATGACTGTCACCTTCTCTCTCCATCCACTCTTCCCTGATTTCTGTCATGTGACACAAAAACTCCACCTTGCCTCTCTTCCAGCCTCTTTCCCTTCCTTTCTTATCCTTCTCTCCCTTTCTCACCATTCTCTCTCCTCTCATTCTCTTCCTTTTTAACCCCCCCCCCCCCCCCCTCTTCTTTCCCCCATACTTGTCAGCAGTGGTCTTGTATTGAAGTTGTATTATTTAGTCACATATTCCCCATACTTCTGGAGTCGGAGCACAGGTAATTTTTTGCTTTAGTTATCTGAACTTTATAATTCATAGGTTATATTCTCTTTTGTTTCTGCACCCCCTAAAATGGGACTCTGTACGAATTTGTACTTACCACATTGGAAGATGGCTTAATAAACAGCATTGTATCTTGGAAACTGAAATATTTTGGCTGTATCAAGATTAGAAAAAATTAATGCATAGTACCAGAAAAACCCACTAGCATGAATATGTATGCATGAAATGAGCGACACCTTGGATAAGAAAGACAATGAGGCGGGAGAGCTGGCAGGAAACCAAGTTTCTTTTAGTTTCCCTTTTAAGGGAAGTAATCTATGATGCCAAAAAAAAAAAAAAAGCAAAGAATAGACTGCTTTCCTTCCCCTCGACATTGAGAATGGGTTTTGCTCACACAGCCATGCTAAGCAAAGTGATGTAATGATATTGTTACTTACTTAAGGACAGGTTGTGCCCACTTTACACCCACTACACCCACTATGTCTGCACACTTTGCAGTACAGGGATGGTAGTCACTGCCCAAAAATGTCACATTTATATATATATATAATATATATATATATATATATATATATATATATATATATATATATATATATATATATATATATATATATATATGTGATCTTCTGGTCAAAACAGACGCTAGGCAGGGGCACTGTTTGGAGCTGAGGCAAATTGTTTGCTTCTGCCGGACGGTGGCCGATGCATTTTTGCTCCATTTGTAGACTGGATATAGTTTCGTCGCCTAGCTTCTGAGTTGAATGAATGGTGTGGCACTGGGAGCTGCGGATTTCATTTGGAATGTTATTTTGACTGCCCAACGTGGTGGTGTGAATTGTAGATTCAGAACATGGCGCAATGCCTGTCGTAGCAATGTTGGCGGTGCCCGTATGTGATAAAAAAAAATTAATCGTGTGGACAATTGCTGATCTGTTGGTGACTTCTGCTACCATCAATGATGAACTGCATTTTTTATGTCGGACTGTTTGTGTTCGCACTTCGGATGGCTACCTATGCTTTAATGCGTGTGTTTCTAGATATGCTGAGACAGCAGTCTGTCAATCTTTCCACAAGGGATTGTGATAAACATTCTGTGTTTTTCGTTGGGGCAGGAGCGGAGCAAAGATGGGTTGACCCGTTTGCTATGAAGCTGAAACTAAGACTACCATATATATATGTATATATATATATATATATATATATATATATATATATATATATATATGCATTGATACAGCAAGAGGCACGATCTAACAAATGACTGGAATGACCGCTGTAGTTCTTCTGTTGTTATGGCCCTTAAAATCAATGTTACGACCCTTTGGATGTCATCAATATTGTTGAAGATGCGTCCTTTCAATCATAACTTTAATTTTGGGAATAGAAAATCATCACAGGGAGACATATCTGGGGAATATGGTGGAAGGCTGAGAACAGACATTTGTTTTTGGGTCAAAAATTCTTGTTTTGTGATGATGCCTCTTGGGTACTCAACCCGCTGAGTTTTTGGTCCTCAGACGACTGTGGTACAAACCAGCAAGCAACTTTTTTTTTCTTGCTTAAATCTTGCACTAAATGTAATGAATGGTCTCTCTATAAACACCATATTCATCTGCCATCATCCTCACAGTAAAATGAGTTCATCATTACGAACAGAAATTTTACGTCCAGGTCTAAGTGAATTAGTAAACACATTTCACACCACCTTTGAATCGTGAATACCCACACCTGAAAAATTTGTGCACAAGATAAACAATTATCCCCATAAACTTGTTGCATCAAATTCAACTGTTTCAATGGCGCTTTTTTTGAGTTTTTAAAAAGAATTTACTGCTAGGCTTTTGCTCTGTGCTGATTACCTAACAATGCACCTCTGTGACAACAAAATGGCGGCTTATTACTTGTCTGCTTATCAAGCAATGATGAAAAGTTGCCAGATAATAGATGAATGTTGCCTCTTTAGATTCCATGCTTTGCTTCATAGATGACATTTTTGTCTTGGCCATAATAAAATCAGTCCTCATTACTTAATTGTCGGACCTTGTATATATATACATACTTTTATATAGCTTTATTTGTCACCTCATAAATAAATAAAGGTTTGCTCGCTTTATTAAAAGTTTTTATTTTGTTAAATACAGGGCCACTGTGTCGTGGTGTTTTTCATCGAGACGGAACTTTCCTTCGTCGAATCGGATGCGAAAATATCACAAGTTTTTTCCTAATGGCATCGACATCAGTGGCCATGGAGATGTGCTTATAGGTGACAGTCATGGCAACCGCTTCCACGTGGGGGTATTCCAGCGGGAAAGGATCTCTGATCAGTGAATTTCAATGCCCCTACGTAAAGGTCAGTCGTTGCTGTGGATTGAAAATCACCAGTGAGGGATATATTGTCACCTGGCAAAGAACAATCACCATGTTTTGGTTCTGAATACGCTGTACATACCATAATTTTTAGGATGGAAAACATTTGTTGTTTTGCTATGAAAGTTTGGAAAGTGTAGACCACTTTTTCTTTTATACATGTTTAAAACTAGACAGTAGCAGAATTCCGTCTTATATATGACCAAAAAAAAATAATCAAAAAAAAAATGCTTACACATACACACATTTTGTGGCTTGCTTGAAGTCCACTCTATTCACAGAAGTCATTCTGCAGTGTATGAAGCACATTTCACTGTTTGTGTTAAGTGATTTCTGTCATTTTCCTGTGTTTTCCTCGTGTATTGAGGGTTTTTACTTTTCTTGAATTGCTTGTGAAAATGTGTGTCCTTATACAATATAAACAGTTGTTTAAATTTGCTGCAGTTATTTGTGCACTTAAAATTAATGGCATATTGCCTGTAAGTTGTTAGCTGGCAGGCTGAACTGATATTGTTCTTCCTTGTACACACGCTAGCAAGCCCATTTTTACAGGGAGGGAAAAGCTTATTTATTTACCTTTTAGATTATTGGATTAGCACAAGACAACAAACACACAAAAAACCTATTAGAAATCTATGTAGAGATGTACTGTATTTGACAAAATAAATTTCAGTATCACTCAACACTTAGCATTGAACTTTTGTGTGGATAGAATTTGCTGGCAGTCCTGCAGTTTTCAGTTATTCTCAATTAATAGTCAATCATCTTGCTTAGGGGTTATGAACGTCATTTCATAATTCTAGACCATTGAGTTCCATCCAGTTACAGAAGATTTGACTGAAGACCGCTTTATGTTGTCAACAAATTTAGGAGCACAGACTTTTTAGAAAATATTATGATGACAAACTATTGAAACGTAAAATTGCTTAGTAAACCCACATTAACGATTAGCAAATGCTGCTGTTGGTTTGCGATGTCCTGTTATAGGAATGCTGCCCAATTTATTTTTAAATTAACAAACTCACTGAAATGGTCAAAAAAAGGAAAGTTTCTTCCATGACAATGCATCATGTGTCTGTTAGATGTAGTGTGGTAATTAATGAGATAGACAAATGTTCATAATATTTTTGTAATTTGCTTTAAATTTTTCAAAGTTTGATTACATAATTTTTTAGGACATTATTTTTC